TATATATAAGCAAGTATTTCTTTAGCTGTGTGAACAGAAGTGATGTGCTGAACAACCATATAGAGTTAGCTTGTTTACTTTTATTTTTCTCCCTAAAGTATGCGATAAAATTATAATAAAAATAATGTAAGAAAATAGAAATATAATAGTAACATTTATCAAGTCCTTATTATGTTATGAGAAATTACCCAAGATTTGGAAACAAGCAAAGAGATTACTGGGTGTCCTATCAGTGATGTTGTTGTTGTTGTTGTTGTTGTTGTTGTTATGTGCCGTCAAGTCGGATCCGACTCATAGCGACCCCTCCTTGGGTTTCCAAGGCAGTATCACTGTGAAAGTAGATTGTCCAACCTTCCTTCTGAGGAGTGGCTGGTGGGTTTGAACCACCAGCCTTTTGGTTAGCAGTCAAGTGCCTTAGGCACTGCGCTACCAGAGCTCCTATCAGTGAAGTACTGGGTATTATCCAGTAGCCTAGTCCACCTGGAGATTTTGTGATTTTCTAGGATGTGCACCTTTGATTTAAGGAGCTCTGGTGGCATAGTTGGTAAGGCATTGGGCTGCTAATCAGAAGGTCCAAGGTTCAAACTCAACAGCTGCTCAGTGGGAGGAAGATGAGGCAATCTACTTCTGTAAAAGTTTTACAGCCTTAGAAACCCAAAGGAGGTCACTGTGAGTAGAAATGGACTCCATGGCAGAGGGTGTGTACTTCTGATTTACTACTTATATTGACTAGGCTTTCTTACATATTTTGATGTCTGTGAGGCAGGTTCTTTATTATTGAAAATTATTTTACAAAAGAAGAAATGAAAACTTAGGAAGATTAACTTTTCAAAATTATAAGGGAGAAGCCAGGACTCAGCCCCAGATCTGTTTGCTGTAACTCATGCCCTTGACCACTGCACAGGTGCTTCTTTACTGTTTACTCAGTTGAGTAGATAAAGCATGTTCTCGGTACAAAAACTGCTAAGGAAGCCTGCCATTCCTGACTCCAAAGTATGACATGTACCCCAACCAAATGAAATCTGTTGCTGTCCAGTCTTTTCCATCTCATAGTGACCTTACAGGACAGAGGAAAATTGCCCCATAGAGATTCCAAGGCTGTGATCTTTATAGAAGCAGACTGCCATGTCTTTCTCCCGTGGAACAGCTGGTGAGTTAGAACCTCTGAGTTAGCAGCCAAGTGCTTAACCACCAGGGCTCCCCAGAGCACCAACCACTGCCATGGAGTCAGATCTGACTGATAGCGACCCCTCTTTGGGTTTCTGAGGCAGTATCACTAAGGAAGTAGATTGCCCAACCTTCCTTCCAAGGAGTGGCTGGTGGGTTTGAACCGCCAGCCTTCTGGTTAGCAGTCAAGTGCCTTAGGCACTACGCCACCAGAGCTCCTAGTTACTAATTTTTATGTATCCTTCCAGGGATATTATAGGTCCTTTGCCTAGTTACTTTGACATCAGTTTTCCATTTTCTATAATAGAGGAGATAGAGCAGTCTGTTTCCATAGATTACAGCCTTGGAAACCCTAATGAGGCAGTTCTACTCTGTCCTACAGGGTCAATGAGTGTGAATTGACTCGATGGTTTAGTTTGTTTGTTTAACTGTATTACATATTTAACTTGATCTCAATAACTTTTTATTGAGCTCTTACTGTGTTCACCATTAAGCCCTTAACATACTTGATTTCACTTCATAACAAAAATTAGATAGTTATAATTGTTATCTCCATTTTACAGAATTTTTTTTTTTTAATTACTGTTGTTGAAGGATTGTGCTTGATAGCTTTTTTTTTTAAAAATTGTGATTTGGGTGAAAGTTTACAGAGCAAATTCACTTTCCATACAGAAGCTCACATATACCCTGTCTCATGACAGTGACTATAATTTCCCACAATGCAACAGCTCCTCTCCCACTTCCTCCTCATAGTTACCTCTTCCCTGTGTCTTTCCCTCTATCCAGTCCTGCCCCCTGAGTTGTCTCCCAGTGCATTAAAAAACTCAATGCCATCGACTCATCCTGACTCATAGCAACCCCTCCTTGGGTTTCTGAGGCAGTATCCCTGTGGAAGTAGATTGCCCAACCTTCGTTCCAAGGAGTGGCTGGTGGATTTGAACCACCAGCCTTCTGGTTAGCAGTCAAATGCCTTAGGCACTACGCCACCAGAGCTCCCAATATATTGGATAAAATATTTTGAATTTCCATAAATATCAATTCACATGTGAAAAGATATTTTTCAATTTTAAAAAATGTTAGACATTCTTTTTGGTGTGTGTGTGCATGTATTTGGAAGGAAGATTGGGCAATCTATTTCCATAGAGATACCACCTTAGAAACCCAAGGAGGGGTCACTGTGAGTCAGAAAAACGACTCGATGGCAGTGAGTTTGGTTTTTATTTTGAGATGTGTGTGTGTGTATAACAATTTATAAATACTAAGTGTTCTCATTTTTAAATCTTTTAAAAAGGCTTCTTAATTATAATATCCAGAAATTGTGATGTCAAACTTCCTCACAGTTCCTAGAATAATTAATAACTCTGTGTTAAGGAAAATGTTTTTAAACAATTCTGTCAACAATCATTGATTTAGTTGCTTTTGACTGATATGTCTGCTCCACATAGTAGTTGGTTCTTCAAAATAAAGTCTTCAGGGAAGTGCTCCATTGAATAATAGATAAAATAAGGATTTGAATCAAAGGCAATTTCCTCACTTCTGAGAGATAATTTGAGGGATAGTAACTTTAATTTGAACATGATAGTATATCCCCTTTTCAGAGGGTCATATATATTAGCGTATTGTTAAATATTCTTGGAACTACAACAAGAATGAAACCTATTTAACTTTATATAAAGCCAACACTTCCCAAAATTATTAAATTAGCTACCCTTTGGAAATAGAAGTTGCCTATTCTAACTTAATACGTTGACCAACATTTTCATTTCTTGTAACCTAGATTAAATTCATCAATGTTCCTGATAATGAGAGTGACCTTAGGATATCTTAGACACAAAAACTGAGGAAAAAACATTTAAGTAATGAGTAATTTGAAACCTTGGTCATTGGAAACATTCAACATCCAATGTCTTCCACACTCTAGGAAGAAGAAAAGCCATACAGATGGTGGTAGGGGTGGAGGGATGTCCTATCCCTATCAGCTGATATCCTATCTTCAAATAATTCATTGTCTACACCTCTAAGGAACTCATGCCTTGGTTGGAGAGATAAACATAAAAAGATGTGCACTGATGTGTTATAGGCACTGAGATAGATGTGTGTACAGTCCAGATTACCTGGGGTTGAAGGCATGAAGGACAGAGTTGTCAGCTCTACCTGAAGAGGAAGACAAGGTTCACAGGACATACGAGGCTTGAGCTGATCATTGAAAAGTTCCACCAAAAGTACATTTATATATGACATGAAAGGGAATACCAGCTGAAGTGGAATTCCATTATTACATAGATTCGAATCAACTTACAATCAAGGCCTCGCCATGCTCCACCTCTCTCCTTCCCTTCAGTGTATACTATGATGATATTGTAGGAGTTCTGGTAGCATAGTGGCTAAAGCACTTGACTGCTAACCAGAAGGCTGGCGGTTCAAACCCACCAGCCACTCCTCGGAAGGAAGGTTGGGCAATCCTACTTCCGTAGTGATACTGCCTCGGAAACCCAAGGAGGGGTTGCTATGAGTCGGGGCCGACTCCACGGCACATAACAACAACACAACAACATGATGATATTGTTAGTGATATGCGGAAGGGGAAAAGGAAAGTACTGACATTTGACTCAGGTTATCGCATCTAATTTTCACAATAGATCTTTAAGGTAGGTTTTATCTTGCACATTTTATAGAGGCTCTGAGGATACGTTTGCTATTCAGAGTCATCACACGGACCAAAACTGCTGAAATTTGAAGCCTTTGCACTGGGCACTATACCTCCATGTCACTAAAGTAATTGTTGTTTGTTGTTATGTACCGTCCAGTCGGACCCAACTCATAGCGACCCCTCCTTGGGTTTCTGAGGCAGTATCACTACGGAAGCAGGATTGCCCAACCTTCCTTCCGAGGAGTGGCTGGTGGGTTTGAAACCCAAGGAGGGGTCGCTATGAGTATCACTACGGAAGTAGATAGAGGTGACAATTTCCACCTCTATTTTTATTTCCAAAGCTATAAAATATTTCCACCTCTTCTCTAATAAACTGCTTAGAATGGACATTGCAGAAGTTCTTAACATCTCTGGGCCTAAGTTTTCTCCTCTGTCAGAGGGAGTTAGCCTGGGTAGACTCTAGAATTCCTTCTGTCTTCCATATTCTATAATCTTATTTTGATTTTATAATTGAAATTAAAGAAGAAAAATGTTAGTCTGATCTATTTTTACTAATTAATCTTTCATTAAAAATAAATTTTATTAGAAGAACTAGAATTGTTGAGATTGCTTAACTCAAAGAAGAAAAAACTTCCAGAGGGTAGAAGGAGGAGAGAGATGTTATGGCTCTCTTCAGATATATTACAGGCTGCTGCCACATGTAAGAGAGGTGGAATTAATCTTTTTGGCATCAAGGAATGTAACTAGGACCAATGAGGAGAAGTTCTAGACTTCTACTCTTTCTCGTAAGTAGAGGCTGCCTGCCACATGAGATCACACAGTGACATAGCCTCAGTGGAATGATAGGACCAGGAAACGTTTAAGATTGTTTATCCTTGAAGATGTATCCTTCATTGATCCTTTAAAATTTTATCTTTAACAAGGGTAAAAACTATGGTTCAAAGTATCAAACCACAGTCACAGAACTTTAATCATGACTAGGTGAAAAGGATATGTATGAAGGCAAAGAGATTGGCATAAGATGCCAAAATTCATTCTAGGAGACTCCGTAGGCCCTGTCTACTCTGAAGACTGGCTCCACTTTGTATCTTCTCAGTAATCACCATGATCTGCCATGACGAATAAGCTGAGCGTAAGTTCTGGCCCACCTGAGAACCTGGCCGTCTCTCTTGTTCTCTTTCAGATGTTCACCTCCACAATATTTGCTGCGATTGGAGTCTTGGGTGCAGGATACTCATTTGTCATCTCAGCCGTGTCAATTCACAAGGGTCCTATGTGTCTCCTGAACAACAGTACCTGGAACTACCCATTCAGAGATGGGTAAGATTACACTCTGCAGTGACCATGTATCACCACAAGGGGCACCGGCAGACAAAGGGCTCAAGAGAAAACGTAATACAAAACGTCATGTCATCTTCATTATACAAGTCTCATGCATGGTGTTTCTTTGAGGCAGAGCTGGAGTTGGTGTGCAGTGAACTTGAACAAAGTTGGAGCTCTAATAGCCCTTTTAACAGACATCAGGAGAAATCACTGATGAGGGCACCCTCAGTTGACCTATGGGAAGGAGGATACTCATGATGTCACCACTCACATACATACCCACATATTTATTAGCAACAACACAAGGCAACTAATAATATTAGTAGACAGTAGCGGCTTCCATTACAAATCTTATACTAGAAAACAAGAACAATTACTACCTAGGCTCAAAGACTTTCACTCACACCCCAGATTGCCTATGATTAAACAATCGTTTAAGGTAAAAATTTACTGAAAATATCGTAGGTGCTTCATGTGAGTTAATGCTATTAGGACTCATAATGTTGTTGTTGTTATGTGCTATCAAGTTGGACCCGACTCATAGTGACCCCTCCTTGGGTTTCTGAGGAGGTATCACAAGGAGATTGCCCAACCTTCCTTCCGAGGAGTGGCTGGTAGGTTTGAACCCCTAGCCTTCTGGTTAGCAGTCAAGTGCCTTAGGCACTACGCTACCAGAGCTTCCAGACCTCATAATAGCACTTAATATTTCTATGGGTTTTTTTTTTTTTTTTTTTGTAGTTTATAAAGAACTTTCTTTCTTTCTTATTTTTAACAAATTTACAATTTAATCTCTACAGCAACCCCAACAGGTAGTTACTCTCTGCCAACTAAGCTTAATAAGTTTATCTTGTACAAAGTCACACAGCTAGTTGTGGATAGGGGCAAGGCTCAAACTCAAGTTTTCTGATTTCAAATCTTAAACCTTTCACATTACACATGTCTCTGTCCATATTTTTCTGCAATGTCGAGTATAATAGTCAGTAGCTATGTTGTTGTTGCTGTTGTTAGGTGCTGTTGAGTCAGCCTGACTCATAGCAACCCATGAATATCAGGTTGAAACACTGTCCTGCACCATCTTCACACTTCTCGCTATGATGCATGAGCCCATCATTGCAGCCACCATGTCAATCTATGTCATTGAGGGTCTTCCCTTTTTAATGACCCTCTACTTTACCAAGTATGATATCCTTCTCCAGAAACTGGTCCCTTCTAACAGCATGATCAAAGTAGATGAGATGAAGTCTGGCCATACTCTCTTCTAAGGAGCATTCCAGCTGTACTTCTTCCAAGACAGATTTCTTTATTCTTCTGGCAGCGCATGGCATTTTCAGTGTTCTTCACCAACACAATTAATATGCATCAATTTTTCTTCTATCTTCTTTATTCACTGTCCATCTTTCACATGCATATGAGGCTATTGAAAATAACATGGCTTGGGTCAGTCACACCTTAGTTTTCAAAGTGATATCTTTGCTCTTAATACTTTAATTTAAACTTAATTAGAATGAAATAAAATTTAAAATTTTAATTTTTAAAATTGCTCTAGGGTGTTTCAAGTACTCTGAAGCTACATGTGAATCATAGCTACTGAATTGAATGGCACAAATATAGGACAATTCCATCACTGCTGCTGTTAGAGCCAATTGCAACTCATGGCAACCTCATGGGTGCAGAGTAGGATTTTCATAGCTTTTTCAAGGCTATGGCCTTTGGTATCACAGTGCCTAAGGCATCTAACTGCTAACCAGAAAGGTTAGTGGTTCAAACCCACCAGCCACTCTGCGGAAGCAAGACTGGGCAATCTATTTCGGTAAAGATTTACCAGCTCGGAAACCCAATGGGGGTCTCTATGAGTTGGATTGACTCAACGGCAGTGAGTTTGGTTTTGGTTTTGGTTTTGATATGGCCTTTCAGAGGCAGATCACAAGTTCTGTCTTTTGAGGCACCTCTGTGTAGGTTTGAACCACCAAACTTTTGACTAGTAGTCAAATGCTTAACTGTTTGCAGCACCCAGGGACTCCTCCAGCACTACAGACAGTTCTATTGGACAATGCTGCACTGCACTGAAACCTTCAGGAGGGCTTCCAAAACTCCAAACCAAACTCACAGCCATCAGTCAAGCCCATTTCACAATGACCCCTTTTGGATTTCTGAGGCAGTAAATCTTTACAGAAGTAGATTGTCCAGTCTTCATTCCACAAGTGGCTGGCGGGTTTGAACTGTCAACCTTCTGGTTAACCATCAAATGCCTTAGGCACTACACCACCAGAGCTCCTTCCAGAGGGCTTGGACCCTTGTTATTTTGTTAACTATAGTAGCCCTTCTGTCTAACACAAGGACTGGCACATCCTAAGGGGTCAGGAAATATGATTATTAGGTCATCCAGGGATTAGAGGATGGGTACATACTTAAAAAAATAAAATAAAAAATCTATAGGACACCAGTCTATTAACATGAACCTTTATTTATTAGTTTAAAGTGAAAGTCTAAAGAATTTAAGAGCAGACCTCAGACTGGGAAGGTGGAAGGCACTCATTCTGTTGTTTCACAAGTCTTGGTGTGTTCACAGTAAAAGATCCTACTCACCCTACTCCCACAGTTAAACAGGAGCACAGGATCTCTAGTAACCTGATAAAGAATGCAGTGACTGCAAATGTATTTATTTCACTGTGGAAAGCCCCATTATGTTCCAGAGCAATGTTGAAGCTACATTGACTAGGACTTGGCTAGCTTGAGCACAGGGTTCAGTCCTGAGAAGCCTCAGCCATCTCTTGAGATTCTTCCCCTGATGGTTCAATCTGTCCCACATTGAGCTATGAAGCTACAGATTGTATGTTCTCTCAAGGACTTTCTCCCTGTTCTTTCCATCAACAGCATCCGAGCATCATTAAATATCTTTTCTACTTATTCTGCTATGTGAGTGATACTACCCTTTATGAATTTACAATTAATTAGAATAAAACTGTATCCAAAACAAGGGAGGGAGAATGGAAACAAACAGATATCAAGTAACTGCAAAGTAGTCCTAAGGGCTCATATATTCTGACTTTAGAGCCTAACACCCTTCCCTCACACACTCACAACCTGCTTGAGATGCAATGGGACAACACCCAAAGTCAGGAGAGCAAATGCTGGCCTGTGGGCCACCATAAGAAATGCCAACTTGGGGGAAAGACAGGACACTGCTGTTCAAAGTACTCTGTGTTTGCTGTTCTGGCAGAGCAAGATTCCTGTCACATCACAGCCATTTATTAAGCATTGCTCTGTGATAGATGAGCTCATGGGTGTTATTTTCTTTAACTCTCACAACAACTAACCTATCCATTAACACAGGCCAGATCATGGAGGTTTAATAATAGAAACAGAACTGAATAAACCCTGCAGGCAAGCAGGACAGTGCAGAATTCTCCGTCCACCCTCCACTCCTCGCTGGGCTTTGATCAATAAAGGGAGGATGGTTGGATACTAAGACATATGCACTGTGGCTTCAAACTATAATGGGCTCAAAAACTTTCCAGGTTATTTGTAGGATATTCAAGAGTGATTTGACTATTTGTGTTGTATTTTCCATATGCCCTGACTTTAGAATTTAATCCTACCTGAGGTGTAAGTCCACTCTTTGCAAAGCATGAAACAAATCACGATTACTGCAGGAAGGGCAGTAGGGAGGGTGGATCCCGGGAGGGTGGATCCCGCCAAGGTGTGCCTCCCTGTGTCCACGTGCCACCTGGCATACTTTCATCAGCATTCCATTGTTTTCCAGCATCCTGCTTCCTATCTTCTGAGGCAAGAATCCACATTCCATTTTGATCTTATCTCTCACTGCCTGCTCCCACCCTTCCCTCTGCCTCCAGAAGTTTGTTTCAATTTTCTTATAAAAATCACTGAACTTTCTGTTAGGATGGTGTGCTTTAGTTCACAAAGTGCTTTCACCCACAGTGTTTCATTTGATCTACACACAAAGTGTGTGAGATTTTTAACTCTTCCTCAGAGTTAAGATAGCTGAGGGCTAGAGAGGACAAGTGACTTTCAAAAAGGAGAACGATTTCTTAATGACTGAGGCACAAATAGAAGTTTTCTGACTCCAAGTCACAGGTTATTTCTGGAACCCAATATATATTGATTCACCCTATCTCCCTTTTGCCTGGATTCCCATCTAGCTAAGCTTATGGGCCTCGGTGTGCCCTTGTTGCCTACTCTTTTCTATAAATGTGGACTTTCCTTACCCATCAGATCCCATATGAGCATTGCAGCAGACGTTGTTATAGCTGCAAACTAGCACACATGCATGACTGCTTAGTGAGGAGAAAGGGCTAGTAGCTTGTATGAGCCCAAATAAGAGGACTCAAGACAATTGCCACTCTTCCCTTATCACTTAATGGTGGTGGCAGCAGCTTCTCCTTCTCTTCCTCTTCCTCTTTCTTCTTCTGTAATGATAAAGTGCTAAGTGTTTTTACATAATGGTCTCACTTAATCTTCCTAATAAATCTGAGAAGAATTCTTACCCCTGGAGGAGAAAAATCAGATTCTAAAAGATTGACTTTCTCAGAGTTCCACAGTTAGTAATTAGTAAGAGAATTTAAAACAAGTACAGTTGTTGGACCTTACTTTGTGCCAAGGCCTTTGTCAGATATGGGGACAAAGGACAAACATGGGTCCCATTGGATGAGTGCATGGTTAGGGTGACAAAATGGAACAGATTCTCCAATGCAGAATATGATGAAATAGAGGACGGTGAGGGAACCTTCCCTGAGAAGTGCTATGGGCTGGTTTGGAAGGATGAACAGAAGCTTGCCTTTCAGAGAGGGAGGAAAAGCACATATCAGACAGAGTATAGCGTTACTAATAGAGCCACAAAAAGACCCAACATGCTCATAGAATATGTAACTTATGTGAGCTAAGGGAGCAGAAGGAGACACCACCCAATGGGGGTAAGGCTGAGAGGCAGGCTAGACCTATACGACACAGGGAACAGCAGAGCATTTCACTTAGCAGGA